TTTGACCTGTTACGAAACAGCACAAACATGCACAACGTTCAAGTAAGATTTCAAGCCAATAAGGTTCCGTACAAGCAATAATAAACAATTGTGTTAAGTAAAAACTTGCGCGTAATAACGACGCTAATAGAAACGATTTAAACGTTTCGGCAATGTGTTCAAGATAATAGAGATAAACATCATAAAAGACAAGGATGCAAAGTAATGCTGTAACACGTATTGTCCAGAGTTTTTCAATTGGCGGAATTTGATTGGTTCCACGCATGAGAAAAAAGTATCGTAAGACGAAACCAATTAAAATCAATGCAGGTATAAAGAGAATAAAGTAGATGATTGAACGAGCCGTTGCAAGTAGATGTAATTTGGAATAATTGTATAAACAATACTTAGTTGTGTAAGCTGAATAAGACAATTTTGAATTTCGTTGATAGAATGGAGAAGCCAACGTATAGAGAAGAATAATAAATAGCCAAGTAAAAATTGCATAAAAATGAATAAAAGACATTGAAGAAAATCGTGCGCAATGATGTTTAAATGATGGATGTGCATAGAGAAAACGATCGATAATCATGTAGAGTACAAAGAAAAGTGGAACCTAAATGAATTTCTTATGAAACAAACATTAATCACTAATCATACTTACTGTTTCATTAGTAGATAATATAACATAGTGAAACCGACATAGACGCAGTGTAAATATATCAAACCAATGATGCAGAAGAAGAATTAGAGCTGGAATCCATGCCACAAATGCACAAAGAATGATTTGGCCAGAAAAAAAGTCAATTGCATTTTTGTAAGCACGTGTATAGAACATTCGTAGAACGATTGGAATTGCTAAAAGATATGTTAAGATAGTGAATGTCCATATAACAGTATGAACACCATTGACAGAATATTTTTCAGGTTCAATTAGATCAGCTACTTGATATTTATATAATTCTGTTCCATTAAGCATTCGCGCGATTAATTGATAGATTGATTCATTAGTTGTTGTTGAATTCACGGATAATGTCATTCTCGTTGTAATTATCGGCGACATCGTTGATATATTATTAGTCATTTCTGTACGATTGTATTGATACTGCAGTTGTTAGGATTGATAAAAAAAAATTATATATATATATACTATCGTCACCTTCTCGTCACTCGTTATCGTATTCAGAAGAAATAGTATGTGCTTCAACGTTCTGTTGTGCGACTCAATATGCTGATCTTCGAGTGGTTGGGTGGCGAACACGTCGCATGCTTGATTAATTTCATTTCTCCTCCTGCTTTCTTCTCTCGACTCGTGACGGCAGCAACAACAACAGAAAGGGAGAGAACACACAGGATGATGGTGTCAGCGAAGAAAAAGAAGAAAAAAAGGACAGAACAGAATAGAACATTTAGTGGTGTTAGAACGGCGTCGACAGTCAGTATTGAGTTGCGTATGAATATGCCGAAAAAATTGCTTTATGATGAAACAGAAACAACATCTTATATCACACACGTAATCCTTTTTCTTTCTCTGATATATGCACAGGACTCCTAGGTCATTGCCATGCGCCTATAAAATATATGGAGTGAAGAACAACCGAATGAATATAACAGATTCTCAGTCGTTTTCATAAAGAAAAACGTTCGACGTATCGCTCATCGAAGGTTACATAAAAAAACGCACAGATATGTATATATATATGAACTAAGAAAGATCGATATGTTTGATTGCATTAAAATAAATCTGATAGCAAGTAACAGATCGACAAGAGTAGATTATATATATATATATATATACTCGGAAAGAATCAAGTGATGAAAATCCATTATGATAATGTGCATTGACAAGAATTGAATACTGATTACTTAATGAAAGATACTCTTATTTTCTAACAAAATCAATATATACATTCATAATTATGGGTTAATTATTTATATGGATCTATTGAGAATAATAGAATAACGTTCGAGATGATTGTGTTCCTGACAATGGTAGTGAGAATCAATTTTCTTAATGGTATGAATTAGAAATGGGGATTAAGAAGAAAATGTTATTTTAGTTAATAAATATCAATGTGATCTTTTTAGAAAGATAAGTTTCGTTTTCAATCTTGTTCTTTTCAATTGTATTCGCTTCTCAGCTGGCATATTCGATAAAAGTATGTTTGACATGATCGTCTGTGCTAACATGATGACGAAATGCATATATTTATGCAGAATGTGATGAAGGAGTTGTTACATCATTCCATAAGTTCAAATATTGTGTTTTCGATTGTTGAATAACTAATCATTTATCATGTTTGATATAAAAATATTAGAGGTATTGATTTAACTGAATGTTGAAAATAGAAAACTGATTTGTCATCGTCGGAAATAATAAATAATATGGTATTTTGAAAGTACAATACTGATATTTCTCTACGTGACAGATGTACATGTCGAAAGTGAAAGGTTACCGGAATCATGTACGATCGACAATGTTTGTATTCTATGTAAAATTTATGCTAAATTGTCTCGTTCTTGACAGTCAAAGTGAATAAGACATTTGCTGACTTTCAGTCAGAGATGGGCACGGTTCAGATCGATTTGATGAAATCGTAAATAGATCTCATCTAAAACTATTTTGAATGCATTTTTAAGTCAGATCTGTCTCAAGAAAACCTAGTTACCAAATATAGAACTTTCGAGAAAGCCTTTTTTCGTATATTTGTGCTAAAAAAACTCAAATTTTGACAAACTGCGCTTTATGTAAATACTACATTGCCATTATATAATACGATGGAACGAATAAAATCCGACGGAGACAGTTGAAGATGAAGCGGTCAGTCACTTTTCCGGACCACGCAACTAGTCAGTACTGTGGATAGTTGAAGCAAGGCTACGACAGTAACTTTTGGTGAGAATGCCTTGATAGTTCATTGTTTAAGTGTTTTGTGTGCTTGCAGCAGGAATTTCAACCGATTGCTATCTTCAGACACGTTTACTTGAATCTCAACTCAAAGTATTCTTTCGTTCATTCGCTTTTTCACATGAACTGACCTTCTTTTAAATATTAGGGATCCTTCAATGTTTATTTCATTATTGTTGATCCTGATGCAACTGGTTCTTATATCGCAGTAGTTCGTACACATGAACGTATTGCATTTTTTCCGTTTATTGCATCAGAACCAACTATTCATATACATACCATTATCTGTGATTGAAGCGGGATCGCTATGTATGTTCAACAGAGAACGAATTATATCAATTTTCGCTTATAGGAAATGATTGTATATTCGCTAAAAGAAGAATTGAAGTTTTGTCAACAAATGTAAAAAAAACGAATTCCATATTGTAAACGAGAAAGTCAAGTCGACAATAGAAACCCTTGAGTGTATTTTTCGCTAAAATAAACAATTTAATATTCCTTCTTCAAGTCACTTCTTTGCAACTTTTTTAAATCCAGCGGAACTAATCTGTAACAACAAAACAAGATTTTTCTTTAAAATGATCATTGCATGAACGTTTTCCATCCACAAAACGATAAATACGATTCGCATCACGAATAACAATTTCATATTGACGAATTCGACTAATCAATTTGATTGCATTATCTATTAATACATACTGAAAAAGTGTAATATTATACTCTTCGTAATCATTTTATATGGTGTCACTCTTGATTTAGATTACCGGAGCAAAATTCCAATTTATAGCTCACCGGCTGTTCAACATGATGTCTTTTGCGAAAGAAGTGACAAAACTTCAGCATCCAGGAGTATTTTATATTGCACATACATAGGTTTTATATTTTGGACAAGCAAAAAAAGCATAAAATTTCACAAAGTGAGTGTAACAATATCCTAGTGGAGACAATTAGAAAGAGTGTACGCATTCCATTTCAATCATTGCATAACGTGACCAGATAACTGATTTACTTTTGCTAAAGCAAGAAGAAGAAAAAAAAACTACAATAGAGATCTGATCATAACAAGAAGGTTTCTATCGTAAGTAGCAAAATCTACTTCATCAAGAATCAGTATATCATTTTGATGAACCACACATACTTCTACTGAACATTTGTATTACATTAACTAGTATGAATAGCAGAGAGAAGAATTCATTCTCTCCTTTTCAATATACTCAATAAAGATAAAGTTAAGTATCTGACATTGTTTGCATAACAGAATAGAATACTGTTTTTCTATCTTATTCACTGTTCAATCTTCTGTCAAATAAATTGGTTGCTATTAGTGTACATGCGTGTAGTTCTATGTTTCGATCGTAATCATCCGATTTGAGTAGAATGACTTAAAGATGATCATTAGAAAGGACGTCGTATTATCGATAATTTCTATTGAAAATCTACAGGAAATTCGTACCGAGTTGTTTGGTATGAGAATATGGTAAAAAGGAAAACAATCGGTCAGCTATTTAGCAAACTAGATAGTCATCAAGTCATCTTTTTCTTATAACTTCAATGAAAGTCATAGAAAATGACAAGGGTTTTTGTCTTGCAAATATTTGATTTCGAATAACGGTTTATTCATTTTCTTTTCTGTTACTATTGAAGTAGTCAATTGAAGGCAATTTCGTATGAATAAATTTTAATACATTGGGCTGCATATCCTGAAAGCATAAGCAAAAACTCGTGACGATCACATTTATTTGTATTCCTAACGGCATCACTGTTTTTAACCAATGGGAAAGTTCGCGAAATAGAATCGAAATGAAAAGTATTTCTGTTTTTTTCTTGATTTATCTATATATTCATCATTCGTTCTTTTATTTTTTTTTCTCTCGTTTAGCTTAAATCCAAGAAAAAGCACAACAGAAAAAGAAAATAACGAAGACAGTGTTTGAAGTAACAAATCGACAAACAAATTCATTGCCTTCAATTCACTTACACACACATACATAGATCTTTGTGTTCTGGACAAGAAAAAAAGAATGAACAATGGCAAAGTAAATGTGACAATAACCGAGACAAGACAAAGAGAAACAGTTTACAGTGTTCATTTCGATTGAATATGACCAGATAATTAACGATTTTCGACTGAAAAATAAAACAAAGCAACTGTTTCAAATACGGAGAAACGAAGAGAATCCTTACTATAAGTAGTAACGTCAATTTCATCGGGCATTTCAGTGATTTGTACTTCAAAACGAGTTTGAACTTCATTTAAAATCGCAGCATCACTCTCATCACCAATGAAAGTTATTGCTAAACCTTTCGTACCGAAACGACCAGCACGTGCAACCTACAGTGAAAAAGAAAAACTCATCCATACAAAAAACCTCCTCCAATCGAATCGCTTACTCGATGAAGATATGTGTCTGTGTCTTCTGGCATATCATAATTAACCACAATGTTGACACGTTCGATATCCATACCACGTCCAAATAAGTTCGTTGCGACAAGAATACGTGTTTGAAATTCTTTAAACTCTTTGTAACGAGCCAAACTAAATGAACAGATATTGTTGATGATGAGTCAATTTCGATTGTACGACAACTAACCGTTCTTCTTGAGGCATTCCACGATGAATTTCAACTGCTGGAAAATTTTGTTCTGTTAATAGTTTACACAAAACTGAACATCGTTGTACAGATTTTACGAAAATCACCACTTGATTGAATTCTAGTTTATCCAACAGATCAATGAGTTTTCGATTTTTTTCATTCTCGCGTAGTTTAACATAATGTTGACGAAGACCCTATGGCGAAATCAAACATACATCTTGCATAAATTTCTTGCAGACAGGTTGAATATCTTTGCTTAATGTTGCACTGGACATCAACACTTGTTTTGATTCTGGATTCCTCATGGTTTCGTAATTCACGGAATTCGGACACTGCCGGAATTTAACTACAAAGTTTACTTTTTAGATGATCACACGTTGTTGTTGGAAAACAAATAATGTTACATTGGCGAAATCGATAAAGAATGTGTCTATATAAATGTCACTTTTTCGTGGCACTCCTTATTAAATTATGAGAAATAAGATTTGAATCTAATTTCCGATGAAACTCGCCGAAATTATTATTCTCCTTTTGGATTGAATCGACATGGTATCACTGGCACAAGTAGCACCCAACTTTACAATCTCAGGTATCTTCACTGTGTTTAATTGTCGGCACACGCTTAAATATTCTCAACCTACTTACACTATTAATCAAGGAGTTTACAACAAAATCGCCCATCTTTTACATGATCTGTGCCTCTTCGGTTGATCTCTTATGCAGTAACTTGTGTTTTGCTATCAACATTTGATCGATGCATATCACCATCGCGAAGTGCTCGTTGGCGGCGACTGAGCTTCATATGGATTGCTAAGCGTTCTTTCCTCACAAGTATGCTGTTTATATTCGATGTGCACAATGGTGTATGCGTAGCGTCGTCTAGCTCTGGCGTCCTTATAGCAACAGTCTATGCAGATTGTTTTGTATTTGTCGTTCCTCAAGGTGGTATTAAGATCTGTGCTCTCGCAATATAGAGTCATATACAACAATAAAGACGTTGTATTGGCTCGCCTTCTCGCTCTACAGACCATTCACTTGCCGCTCAGCGAATCAATCGGCAATTGCTGATCTTAACATTCGTGAATGCATTTTTACCGAATGCATTAGTATTTCAATGGAGCCTGACATTTTCCTACACTTTCAATACTGTTTCACAAACGAAGAGTTTCGAGCGGCAACAAATCGAATACTTTATTATATGAACTTTGGACCATCATTCTATGTCAATTTTGCTTCGAGCAGTATATTTCGTAAAAGATTTCGAAAATGCGCATCATCACTAATTGAGCGATGTTTTCATTTTTGTCGGAGGACTAAATTTTTGTTTTTCTGTATAAAACGACCTATCTTAGGTAGATGAAAATGTAAGCTGAGGAGTTTTTCATCGGGCTGGCTTCCAGTCGGACAGCCATTCTGACGAATTCGTTGCAAGAACCTTAAACAAAGTACATTTCCAATTAGAGCTCTAATACGTTCAAATAAAACATTAAATACTCAGCATTCACATTCTTTTGATGACGTTTTGGACTATCGTAAGATGCATAGTTTCAATTATATCATCATTTTTCATCTCATGCCAACCAATGTCCTTGATTGTTAGACAAATCAGTCGTCCATTTATTAAGTTCATCAAACTATGATAAACATCGAAACTAGAGGCAGAGACAGAAATGATAAAAATTATTCCGTCCGTCAGTTCTATCTTTCTTTCCCCAATGTGGATACATATATATATATATATATATATATATATATATATATATGCCTTCTACATGTGCACAATCCGTTGTTATCGATAGCTCTCACTTCACCGCGCATTTCATTCTTGTCTATACGTCTACGGTTAAATGTCGATATCTTCGCCAAAAGTCTATTTACCAAAATGAACATCGAATACTTTCATTCCTATATACAGGTCGATCAATACATTCGTCAACAAGAATTTGTAAAATGCGAAGAGGTAAAGTTGTTCGTATTTATCAAAATCTTAACCGACGTCTTGTTCTTCATAGCTATTAACAAAGTTAATCAATCAAAATCCGGATGTGACTGATACTGAAAAGGCTGCTATGACTGAATTATTCAGAAAACGTATTGTGGTTTATCATCGTTTAGGAAAATATAAACGTGAGTATCGATCGTTTTCTTGAGCATCAGACGAATCAGTTCTATCTAGTTGCTTTGAACGATATTGAATCACTCACCAAAAGAAACGTTACACTCGTTTATAATGATGAACTCTTTCTTATTCAACAGTAAGTGATACTCAGCTTTGGTTCATTGATATCATTATGCTTTTTCAGGGAATCAATTTTCAATTGTGCACTTGACGAAATAACTGAAAATTTAAACCAAAGTTTGTCTCCATGTACGCAATCCTTTGATTTTGTTCTTGTCGTTCTATTACCTACATTTTCGATTTCAGCGAATAGGTCGTATTTTGCTTGGCTCATAGAGTTTTTCGATTCCATAAAGTCCAAAGATGTTTTCAACGAGTAATTCGATTGTACATATGATTTTCATATAACGGTTTTTTCTTCCTTTTAGGAAAACATTCGACGCGGTCAATACGAAAGGAAATGCAAAAAGAAAAAGCTTATTTTGATAAATCAATTAGTAATCTTTAATTGAGATTTTTTCGTTTTTTCTGTATGTCAGACTTGTGTAGTTTCATTTGCTAATTATGTGGAAGGCGTTTGCTTTTTGTTTATTAATGATGTATATAATCGATTTCTTTTTCTTTAAAAATAGAGAAAAGGACAAATGATGTTCTTTGTGCAAATTTCTATGAATCCACAAGGCGATGACAGTTCGTTTATTTTGAGCTACTGTTTTATTTTTCAATGAACTACTCTATCTATTGGCAATATTCTGGAACGTAAAAGAATAAGGCGTCAAACACAATGCAATAAGTGTTTGAATTATTTCCTTTTCTAAAAGAAAGGGTTATAGCGTCATAAATACAGTCATGAAAAAGCATAAAGTTTGTTTGTTTGCATAATCTAATCAGATTGCAGCATACTATAAATCAATGAAATTCACTTATAGCCTCTAAGGTTTGACCACCAGTGAGGTAATCGAAGTCGCGGATTACGAATCTGAGGTTAATTTTTCAAAATCTCAATCAGCTAATTAGTAATTAAGAAATGAAAAATTTTTTGGTTGTCGAGTAAGGGTTGACAGAAGGGTAATCGAGACCGAGGATCTCGAATCCGGTGTTAGTTTGCCGAAATTCCAATTACCTAATTGCTAATTAAAAAATGAAATTGTTTTCGGTCACAGCAACACAAATGGTGATTTTTTAAGAAGAAATGGAAGGAAATAGATTGATTCGTTCCGAAAGTGATTCTATAATCTACATGAAAGAGTGAAAATGTATCTGTAACGGCTAGCCGCGAGTGACTTTACTGTATATATCAATAATTCATACCTAGTTAACTAGTAGTTAATTAGCAGTTAATAATCAGTTAAAACGAACCTCGGATTCGGGTTCCTCGACCCCGATTACCCTTCGGTCCACCCTTACTCATCGCCATAACAACTCATAATTAGCTAATGAGCTAATTAACTAATTAATGAATTAAAATTTCTGGAAAAAAAAACTAACACCGGATTCGTGATCTTCGATCCCGATTACCTTAGAAGTGGTCACTTTCTAGTTTGTATGGGTAAATTTCATTGATTTAAGAAATGCTGCTCTCTGATTGGATAGGACAGACAAACTTTAAGCTTTTTGAGCCGAGGATTTAACTGCTGCATAACCCTTTCTTTCAGATAAGGGTCAGTGAATCTAACGCATGAGCGCTACTTGTGGTTATGTTTCAAATACAGATGTCATACATACATCCATGGCTGTGCGACTAGAAATATTTCAAAGAACCAGAGCGAAGACGTCGTTCATGTAAAGAATGGATCTGTCTGTCGTGTTCGCTTCTACTCATCGATAGCTACATTCCTGTGTGTTGAAATCATCTTCTATATTGTTTGTTGTTCTTGTATTTCTACTACATCAAAATGCGTGAAAGTGTCCACAATAAAGACTAAAACGAGTGTTGTTGAGTTTGGCAAATTCGACTGATCAATTTGATTGCGTTACCTATAACACAAAAAGATCCGCACGGAATAACATACTCTTCGTTCATCAGAGTCTCGACTTACGACAGTCACCGCAAATACGAAGATTTTTCACGATTTGAATTCGTGATGGAATTGGTCGTTGAATGAAATTATATGCCAGTGCCAATCTTTCACTGTGACTGTTAAGAAGCGATGCGACAGTTTCATCAGGCATTATCTCACGCGTTATCCAGCTTGAATCGAACTTATGCCTATGTTCAATGAGTTCATTTTCTATTCGATGGAGCTCGTCGTATATCTCTTTGATCTGTGAATGAGATTGATCTTTGACATGAAATCACTTCAGTGATCAGATAACTGATGTACTTTTGCTAGAATAAGGGAAAAAACTGAAATAGAAATGATTATAACAAGAAGCTTCTCTCGTGAGTAGCAAAATCAACTTCATCGAGAATCAGTGTCTATCTGTCAATACTTTGGAGCCTAGAACGGTGGTTCCGGACGTAGTATTATCGATAGTTTCTACTGAAAATCTGTCGGAAATCGTACAGAACTATTTGTGTCGAATTGTTCAATACGAGAATATGGTGAAAGGAAAACAATCGCTCGACTACTTAGTGAACTGGATTGTCATCAGATCATCTTGTTTACAACGAGCTGCATATCCTGAAAGCATAAGCAAAAACTCGTGACGATCACATTTATATGTATTCCTAACGGCATCAATGTTTTTAACCAACGGGAAAGTTCGCGAAATAGAATCGACATGAAAAGTATTTCTGTTTTTTTCTTGATTTATCTATATATTCATCATTCGTTCTTTTATTTTTTTTTCTCTCGTTTAGCTTAAATCCAGGAAAAAGCACAACAGAAAAAGAAAATAACGAAGACAGTGTTTGAAGTAACAAATCGACAAACAAATTCATTGCCTTCAATTCACTTACACACACATACATAGATCTTTGTGTTCTGGACAAGAAAAAAAGAATGAACAATGGCAAAGTAAATGTGACAATAACCGAGACAAGACAAAGAGAAACAGTTTACAGTGTTCATTTCGATTGAATATGACCAGATAATTAACGATTTTCGACTGAAAAACAAAACAAAGCAAATGTTTCAAATACGGAGAAACGAAGAGAATCCTTACTATAAGTAGTAACGTCAATTTCATCGGGCATTTCAGTGATTTGTACTTCAAAACGAGTTTGAACTTCATTTAAAATCGCAGCATCACTCTCATCACCAATGAAAGTTATTGCTAAACCTTTCGTACCGAAACGACCAGCACGTGCAACCTACAGTGAAAAAGAAAAACTCATCCATACAAAAAACCTCCTCCAATCGAATCGCTTACTCGATGAAGATATGTGTCTGTGTCTTCTGGCATATCATAATTAACCACAATGTTGACACGTTCGATATCCATACCACGTCCAAATAAGTTCGTTGCGACAAGAATACGTGTTTGAAATTCTTTAAACTCTTTGTAACGAGCCAAACTAAATGAACAGATATTGTTGATGATGAGTCTATTTCGATTGTACGACAACTAACCGTTCTTCTTGAGGCATTCCACGATGAATTTCAACTGCTGGGAAATTTTGTTCTGTTAATAGTTTACACAAAACTGAACAGCGTTGTACAGATTTTACGAAAATCACCACTTGATTGAATTCTAATTTATCTAACAAATCGATGAGTTTTCGATTTTTTTCATTCTCGCGTAGTTTAACATAATGTTGACGAAGACCCTATGATGAAATAAAACGTAAGAACTCTATACTAATAGAATAACTTACATGGAGTGTTAATTTAGTTTCATTATCAATATAAATTTCCATTGGCTGAAAACAAACAAATCATTTAAATTGGATAACAACGAGTCAAACTTACGTCTTGCATAAATTTCTTACAAACAGGTCGAATTTCTTTGCTTAATGTTGCACTGAACATTAACACTTGTTTTTCATGCGGTGTCATTTTGAATATTTCTTGAACGTCACGACGCATTTCTAAATAACAAGGTTGGTCTTCACATACCACACGAATCTGATAGCATACCAAGTGATTCCAAGACTTTATCACATTCATCGATAATAAAATGTTTGACATGTCGTAAATTGAGTGCTTTACTCTTTCCTAGAGCTAAAATTCGACCAGGTGTACCAACAACGATGTGTGGACAATTCTTTTTCAACGTTTCTTCATCATTTTTAGTTGGTAAACCACCAAAGAAAACCGAAACTTTCACCGATGGCATATATTTGCAAAAGCGTTCGTATTCACGACTGATTTGAAAGGCTAATTCACGTGCATGACACAGAACGATAACCGATACCTAAAATCAACGTGTGAAATAACACAAAAATTCACTTAACATTTCTTCTTTTCTCTTACTTGTCCATCAACAGGTTCTAATTGTTGAAGCGTCGCTAACACGAAAACAGCTGTTTTGCCCATACCAGATTTGGCTTGACATACAATATCTGTACCAAGAATAGCTTGTGGAATGGATTCATGTTGAACTATAGAATAGATAAACGTAGTTTAGCCGGAGTTCTCCAGTGTCTTTTTTTGTTTAAAACCTTCAGATGGATGTTCAAAACCGCAATCCATTATTGCACGGAGTAATTCAGGTTTCAGGAGAAAATCTTTAAAGCCACTTGCATGAATTGATACATAAGAGCCTCGGATTGGTCCACTTTGTGTACCTGATGAACCTCCATTTTTTAACGATGATCCACCACCCGTTCCATTCAATGTTCCACCTTTTACACCCGTTTGTGGTGCGTCATCTGCTTCATCATAATCGAGAAGTTCTTGTTCGTCAGCCATTTTTGGAAAGTTTGATCTAAAACGAGAAAAAAACACTTGTCAAACATCAATAGATGCGATTTCATATTTGTATATATATATAGATTCGTATGTATAAGAGGAATTATTAAATAAAGATAATAGAAAAAGGAGAGAAAAAGAAAAGCAACATCATTCGTCTATTATCATTGAAAAATGAAACGAAAGAGAATATATAGGATAATATATATTCACTGTTATTTTGTGACACATACGAACATACACACACAGGGCGCATTAAAAACACATGACACATGAATTGAAATGTTCATCTTTCGAGAAAATGAAAGGATATCAGTTTGATACTCACAGACAGATCTTTGGAATGCGCGTGGAGAGGAGAGAAAGAAAAGGCAATATCAATGTACAAGTAGAAAAAAGATTGAAGAATAACTAAACTACGGCTGAAAAGAAGTTTTACAAAGAAAAAAGGAGAGAGACAAATGCATCCGATTTCTTTTTTTTCCTCTTTGTTTTGATATGAGATTAAGTCCTATGAAGCAGTTACAATAGTTTGTTGCGGAGTAACGGGTGGTGTATGAGGCTCCTGCTTTTTCTCGATAGCAATCGAATTTACAGATGTGGAAGAAGATGAGTTATTCCAGGAAGAATTCGTCGGAGTTGAAGGTGCCGGAGCCGAAGAAGTCTAAAGTCGAATATTTTGGTTAGAGAACAAATAGAATTCTTCGATTCAAACCTGATTATGAATGTTATTTGCGGAAGGCGTTTGTGGAGAATTGATATTTGTTGATGAAAGTCGTTTTCCTGGTATTGATGACAATTCTCCATTCGACAATGAGTTAACACCATTCGGCGTTAAAGCATTATTTGCGAACATGGACGGTAGTTGTTGTTGGGATGGTGAACCAGGAAATGAGATTTGTTCTCGTTTGATTTGATTCGAATTGGATAAGAATTGTTGTTTCGGATGAAGTAATGATTGCAGATTTGGATTTTGTTGAAAACCCGGTGTCAGTTGTTGATTGGAAGAGTTAAATTGTTGGAGGGCCATACCATTTAGATCATATTGAGCATTTTCGAGACGTGTTATAAAACGTTCATCTTCATCATCCATTTCACCACCCATCAGAGATGGTTCGCCAACAATCATAACATCCTAGATCAATTCTTTCTTCAGACACTATTTTTCAAAACAAGATCGATTTTTCATACCCCGGGCATGTTGTTTAATCCTTGAGTTGGAGGTTGAGAATAGACATTATTCGCCGGCGAGCGTTTCTTTGCAGGTGTTGTACAATTGGGTCCAGCTGAATCTTTACTACCTGGTGCATTGTTATTTCCTACTGCGGTTTTTCGTTTTCGTCGCGTTTTGGCCGCTGGTCGGTTATCTACAGAAGTTTTCAGATGAAAACAACATATTCAATGTACTCAAACTGATTTACCTGAACAAGTTTTCGACCAGCGCTGATGTAAGATCGTTTTCAAGCAATCGCGTGGAGAGAAAGCCGTCGTTTTATGACGAGACATAATTTCTTGCATTGGTTCGAGAATTTCGCACAACTACACGATACTATTAGAATGAATATCGACTTTTTCATGGAAAAAAACAGCTTTTACTCGAAGGAAATTCAACATCGAAGTTGTCAAACCATGTCGAGTATAATTTTTCGATAGTTGATCAAGATAAGTTGGATTATCAGTCTATAAAATTCTTTCTAAATTCGAACCGACTGTATAACACACATACCGGAATAGCAACAACACTTCTTGGAATTAATTCTCGGTGTTGTTTGATCGAAAAATGCCATGATTTAATACGCATCAAATCATCATAGGTAAACTCGATGTTAAAATGTCCTTCGATGCAAACCTTGAAATAATCAACCAATGAAAAAGATGTTCGAATAGATCTATGTCTTATCTTACTTTAATATGTGATGGCTTTCCAAAACAGGTGATCAATGAGCCTTGTTCACAATCGATTGTCAGCGTTGTATTATGGAACATTTCTTTCGAATGTTTTAGAAGAAAATAGACTTCGTTAACGCCGCCATCGAATAAAACACGGAAAAATCGTGGAATTAAAACACGGCCGATATCTGCACGAAAGCGAAGATGAAATTTTTTTCATTTGAAAGAAAGAATGCGCTTACGAAATCGTTTTGGTCCATCGTCGAGACATATCGAGAGAATAATTGCTGAATCTTCTTCGAAAAATTCATTGGCAAATGAATCCCACCAAAGACTATCACATTCCTACAAATCAACCAAATCCAGTCGTTCAATTGAGATTTCAATTCATTATTACTTCAGATCTCATAGATAAACGTTTGTTTAAATCATATATTCGATATTCTGGAGAAGGTAGAGATGGTCGATATTGTCGCATAGGCTGAGATCTGTAAAATGCAAACAGAAGACCATGAAGAGGATGAATTTGAAAGCAAAATCTCTTACGGGAAATGTAAATCGCGTGGTGGCATAGTTGGAAAACGTCCGGGATGATTATGTGGATGTTGAGGATGAGATAAAATTGGTGGATGGGGACTTTGCCAGAGTCCAGGAGGAGGAGCAGGCGAGTCAACAAGACTAGGCTGATATCCACTTGGATCCACTTTTGATCTGAAAATACACAAGTCATCGATTTTTGAAATTTCAAAAAATATTGTTCACTTACCGCTTTCAAATAACAGAAAAGAAGATTGAAATAAATAAGAACTGGTTGTATATTTGCTCCTCTATGTCTCGTCAATACTGTCACTAGACGCCATTGGAATAATTGGAATTCGTGACCATTCAGTGAAACTATTTCATTTCATCTTTCTGTTATTTTGCTTCTTTTCTTTCTTTACGCAATGGTAATGCCATGTTGCTCCCGTGTCATATATCTCTATCCTCCTCATTATCTCCTCTTTCTTTCTGCATCTCTACCAATCAGAAAATTTTTCGCATACTTTGTCAAAAAAATCACCAAGAAAAATTCGTCAACTTTTCCCAGAGAATTTCAAATTAATTAAATTCCTTGTTTTCCATCACAGACGAATTCTAACAATCACATCACAGATGTCACTAATTTTGACAATAAGAATCTACACTGTATCAAAAAAATAATGTGACTGAATAAGTAAATTGACAAAACGTTGTTTTTGTATTTGATAGTTTACATGAACAACACTGTTTGTTTTCGCAAAACATTCTGCAATGATTATGCTTGTAGACAATGACATACATTTCTCTTCGTTTTGTTTTATTCTCTGTCATATCTATTTGTTGCAATTCAAATTATTTACCAGACTGGTCATCACTTGATACAAGACCCATTCCCAAGTGGTATGATCAAGCTAAAGTCGGGATTTTTATCCATTGGGGCGTTTTCAGTGTTCCATCGATAACGTCCGAAGCCTGGTGAGATTGTCTTACATAACTTTTCCCTCTTAACCTATCAAAATCGATGTATATTGATAAACGAACGAGATAAACAGAGATAAGTTAACTGCCTAACTTCTTTCAGATCGAAAGAATGTGTTCATCAACAGCACGAATATTCAGTGCTGTGATTTTCTATTCCTTAATAATCTTTACTAATCAAAAATATACGCCAGATTGGGATTCATTGGATAAACGATCATTACCTTCGTGGTATGATGAAAGCAAAATAGGGATATTTATTCATTGGGGTGTCTTCAGTGTACCATCGTTTCGTTCCGAATGGTACGTAGTTTTGTGTGACTCGAAAAATATACGAATGTTGTTTAGGATGTGGTACTCATGGAAAGGTGATAATCCAAATCCCGAAACAGTAGCTTTTATGGAGAAAAATTATCCTTCTGATTGGACATATGCCGATTTTGCAGAACAATTTCGCGCAGAATTCTTCGGTTAGTGTAGATAAAACATAGACTCTTGACAATTACTCGTACTTTTAGATCCGTACGAATGGGCGGATATACTTGCGGCATCCGGTGCGAAGTATGTTTATCATGTCTTGGAATGATTCTCTAATGAATATCTTCTTATTCCTTGTAGATATGTTGTACTAACCAGCAAAGTGAGTTTTCGTTTAGAATGAAACGAGTAAGAATTCGATTCAATTTTGAGTAGCATCATGAGGGTTTTACTTTATGGCCATCGAAATATTCATTCAATTGGAATGCGATGGATGTGGGTCCTAAACGAGATTTAGTTGGTAAACTTCAGTTCACTTTTGCAGTTTTGAATGACTGAGACAATTTGGAATTCTAGGTGACTTGGCTGATGCTATTCGCAATCGAACGAATATTACTTTTGGTTTATATCATTCACTATATGAATGGTTCCATCCGCTGTTTTTAGAAGATAAGAAAAATGAATTTAAAACACGATATTTTCCCACGGTGAGTTTCATAGGATTCGGGGAGATTTTCTGATAAAGAATTGCATTTTTTAGATGAAAACTATTCCGGAACTATACGAAATCGTTGAAAAATACAAACCAGCTGTGATATGGTCCGATGGTGATTGGGGTATGTAGAATAAGTCGCCTGTAGAACTGCTTATATTTCTGGTATTATATAGATGCACAAGATACATACTGGAATTCAACAGGCTTTCTCGCCTGGCTTTATAATGAAAGTCCTGTCAAAGATATTGTTGTACGTAATCTTATTTTCAACGGAAAATATATTTGAAAATGAATGTTTTATCGAAGGTTGTCAACGATCGATGGGGTTCGGGAGTGATGTGCAAACATGGTGATTTCTATACGTGCTCGGATCATTACAATCCAGGGCATCTTCTTTCTCACAAATGGGAGAACTGTTTCACTGTATGTTTGTCGACTCTCAAATCAAATCGAATATATGTTTGAATATAACAGATTGATAAAAACTCATGGGGTTTCCGTCGATCTGCCACATTCTCAGATTATATAAGTATTGAAGAATTATTGAAAGAACTCGTCACTACGATTAGGTAACGCTCGCAAACAGTAGTGATGGATCTTTTGAAATAATATTTTAGTACTGGTGGCAACGTTTTGATCAATGTTGGACCTACTGCTTACGGAAAGATTGCACCAATCTTTGAAGAACGTCTTCGTCAAATGGGATCCTGGCTCAAAGTCAACGGTGAAGCCATTTACAGCAGCGTTCCATGGAAATATCAAAATGACACCATCAACTCCAATGTTTGGTAAGTTGCATCATTTCGCACGATATCGAAAGTATGACGAGTGAGTTCAGGTACACTGCATCAAAAGATGGTCAATCTGTGTATGCATGTCTTCTTGTTTGGCCAAACAGCACAAGTGAAATCAGTCTGGGCGCACCGGTAAGCTCTGCAAGCACAACAGTATCACTTCTTGGTTCTTCTGGAGGTCCGTTAAAGTGGCGTTCGGGAGGTGCAAGTGGTGGAATAGTAATTGATGTATCGAGTGTAAAGATCTATTCGCTCGCAAGTGATTGGACATGGGTATTCAAAATACAGAATGTTCGCAATTCGAAACCAACCGTTGTAAACGAAGAAGACTATGAGAACTACTAATGTATACATTTTTCTTGATAATTTCAACTAATTTATTTTTCTTATCTTGCATGTGATATCCTTTCTTATCATTCCTTTTTCTTTATTTATATTTTAACCATGCTATGAATTACATAATTTTCACTCTTCATTGTTAATACTGCTTTTGTTAGTCTTGATTACATTTTAACAATAAATCCTACTTCTTCATACTGAAGCAAATTGATTATCTTCTCATTTAAATGAATATCTCTGTTGACATTCGAAAAAAGAACAACCACCTAATTACGGGTCATGTGTACACACACTTTTAACTTTTTGAAGGTAGTATCTATCAGAAAAGGGTGACGATAGTATGGTTTGAAAGTTAATACTAGGCGTTTGTCATGTCATTAAGTATTATCTAATCTTTGACTATCGTCGCTCAGAATAGAAACACACTTTTTATATATAAAGGTGTGTATGAAGTATACCCACCTCAGTTGCCAATATCTCATCGTGATAAGAAGATGCTTTCTCTTTTTGCAAGGATATTTGTTGTTACTTTTTGCCTCTGTCATTTACCGATCACTGAACAACAGTATACACCCGATTGGGCATCATTAGATTCACGTCCGTTACCAGCGTGGTATGATGAGAGTAAAATCGGTATTTTTATCCATTGGGGTGTGTTCAGCGTGCCATCGATTGGTTCGGAATGGTAAACTATTTTAATGCAAACAAGAGATGTCTTTTTTTATGCTGTTGTATATTTTAGGATGTGGTGGCAATGGAAGGGAAACAGTCCAAGTGCGAATATAGTTGCTTTTATGAATAAAACTTATCCAGCAGATTGGACATACGCAGATTTTGCAGAACAGTTTCGTGCAGAGTTTTACAGTAAACTACCATCCTTTTTTTGACATTAGATTTAAACAATTCGATGACTTCTTTATAGATCCAGACGAATGGGCTGATATACTTGCAGCTTCAGGTGCCAAGTACGTCTTTCATTATAGTTCCAACCTCAAATAATCGCTTTTTTTCCATTTTGTGTAGATATGTTGTGCTTACTAGCAAGGTTGATTTGACACTGAATTTCGCTTATTCACTATTGACCGGCTTCATTTGTTGAATAGCATCATGAAGGTTTCACCTTATGGCCATCGAAATACTCATTCAACTGGAACGCAATGGACGTTGGTCCTAAACGAGATTTACTTGGTAAATTGATGTCTGTGTCTCTAATGTACACTTGTTTTTCAATCCTTAGGTGACCTTGCTAATTCAATTCGTGCTCGAACAAATATTACTTTTGGTTTATATCATTCGATGTTTGAGTGGTTTCATCCACTCTATCTTGAAGATAAGCAAAGTGGTTTTAAAACACAATTATTTCCTAACGTAAGTTTTTGAACATTTATCGAGAACAGTTTAAACAAATGTATACCAACCATCTCATCTAGATGAAAACTCTTCCGGAACTCTTTGAAATTGTTCAAAGATACAAACCTTCAGTCATCTGGTCGGACGGAGATTGGGGTACGTGAATTATTAATTCTAGTATTCATTTGTATCCCATTCATATTTCTCGGTTTTAGAGGCACCAGATACATACTGGAACTCGACTCAATTTCTTGCATGGCTTTACAATGAAAGTCCAGTCAAAGATACCGTCGTATGTCTTGGTTACTTTTTTCAAAATACGAAGTTCGACATTTCTATATTGAAGGTTGTCAATGATCGATGGGGTAGCGGTGTTCCTTGTCACCATGGTGGCTACTATACTTGTTCAGACCACTACAATCCAGGACATCTCGTCACACACAAATGGGAGAACTGTTTCACCGTATGTTTGCCGACTCTCAAATCAAATTGAATATATGTTTGAATATAATAGATTGATAAAAACTCATGGGGTTTTATTCGAACATCTGGCGTCAATGATTATCGTAGTATTCAAGAAATTCTTATGGAAATAGTAACAACTGTTAGGTAAGCATAACCTCACGCTCTACGAGTGCTTTGTATTGGCCTATTTAGTACCGGTGGCAATGTTTTGATTAACATTGGTCCAACTTCGTACGGAAAGATTGCACCAATCTTTGAAGAACGTCTTCGTCAAATGGGATCCTGGCTCAAAGTCAACGGTGAAGCCATCTACAGCAGCGTTCCATGGAAATATCAAAATGACACCATCAACTCCAATGTTTGGTAAGTTGCATCATTTTGCACGATGTCGAAAGTATGACGAGTGAGTTCAGGTACACTGCATCAAAAGATGGTCAATCTGTGTATGCATGTCTTCTTGTTTGGCCAAACAGCACAAGTGAAATCAGTCTGGGCGCACCGGTAAGCTCGGCAAGCACAACAGTATCACTTCTTGGTTCGTCTGGTGGTCCGTTAAAGTGGCGTTCGGGAGGTGCAAGTGGTGGAATAGTAATTGATGTATCGAGTGTAAAGATCTATTCGCTCGCAAGTGATTGGACATGGGTGTTTAAACTCCAAAACATTACTCCAAAGAAAACTACAAGAAAATTCAAGTTTCATGGAAAACAATATGAATGAATTCCTTTCCTCTTCTATTTATGAATAAGATTAGCTTGACATATTCACCGTAGAACAAAGTATTTCTTTGGTACTTTTCCAATAAAAAATGTACAAAAAAAGGTTCGCTAAACGATTGTTTCATATACTGGTGAATGAGTTTGCTCGACAAGTAATAATTGTAATCGACTGTCATCTGCAGGTGGATACGAAACGATTTCCAATCGAGGATTTGATTCCGAAGGTGATAAATAGGTAACGGGCAGCACCACACCGTCTACTGTATTCTTACGTTTAATTTCAATGTTATTCGCTTGCGGAGATGATATCTTCGATGACGCTTCTTTTTCCAATTCAAGAATACGTTCTTTGAGAATTTCGACATAGTTTTCTAAGGCTTTTTCACGTCGTGAACGATCTGGTCGATGTTGATTTGTATTATCGGTTAACATTGGTTTGCCTCCCTAAACAGCCATGTCGGATATTCGATAGAAAAAAAGAGAATCGGTGATATTTTTTCTTACTGGTTGACGCTGTTGATCACGAACTATTCGTCTTGCTCTTGCAACGAATCTCGAATATGCATTTTCGGAAAGTAAAATAATTATTGCGATTAACGTTCCACCGGACAGAAGTAAAAAAGCGGATGTAAAATTTCTTTCCTACAGATTGATCATATCGAATCTTTATAGGCGATAAATCAAATCTTACATCTAACGGTTGACTACTTCGCTGTGATTGATGCAACATATCGGGTTTACATGCTCCTAACAACGGAAAATCGACTTATGCTCATCAAGATAATGAAGCAGCAAATAATAGTTTCATTACCGGTAAACCAAAATCGACGAAGACGCTCAATTTCTCCTGAATGATGCATTTCGATAATTTCCTTGTTAATCATTTCTTTAAATTTCGATTGTTTTGGAAATGCAATTCCATATCCAGTCATTGCATACCAATTTCCAACAACGCGTAATTTACATTCATCATCTTGTCCACTGAGATAATCGAGCACAACTGCATCATACAGAAACGCGTGCAATTCACTAGAAATAAGGGAGAATGTGTAAAGAGTCTTCTTGACCAAGTTTATTGGTCTTTACTGTGCTTTCAATGCTTTGATGCCTTCGGTGATATTCTTCTTCATAAATTGTGTCATATACGTATAAACTTCTTTGTGATTCGTTTTCAGTACTTCATCAGTGCTCTAAATAACGGTGAATTCTCCACAAAAAATGTGTCTAGGTTGACTTACTCCGTTCGCAACTGTTCCAAAACGGAACGATGGTTTAATCGAATGAGGATTGGATATCTTAAATTAGAACTGCATTTAACTCTCATCAAGAAGAATAAAACCATACTCGATGGTCAGTAATACCAGATAGTTCAAAATAAGTATCCTTCGTAATCATAAAGGCGGCTGAAAAAGATAGAATGAATTGAATAGACTGAGAAGACATAATGTCTACCTAAATTAGCAGTGTAACTCGCGGTAAATGCCAGACAAAAACATGCCCAGATGTTTGCCATGAATTTCGAGGTAAAACCTTTTGGATTATTAACTTTCGCCGGTGCTCGGAAGAGAATAACCCAACTAAGCCAAACTGATTGAAAGAAAGTGATATTCAGATCTAAAGAATTGAATACTAAGAATCCAATCATTTGAGTGGGGTTTTCTCAAACTTTTTTTCTTTTCTGATCGACGAAAAAGATCAAGAATAAGTTGCCATGGTGAATTAGGCAACTTTTCACCATCTTCAAGTCCCTATTCACAAGAAAAAGTAGTTTTCCCTATTCAAACAATCATCTTACATAATGTGAATAATGAACGGTTAACCTTTGCTTAAAATATTCAAAAAGAAATATCATAATGGCAACACCGTGTAATGTAACCAACAAAATCAAAACCCATATTCGATAATCATAGGGTTCTAAAGAAAATGTTGACACTTTCATGAAACTTAACACGATTTTTCACGAACTAAGAAATGCGGTTGTGGAGATAGCGCCTTGTCTCAACGAAACAATCAAAGCAATGCCCGTTTCCATCAGGGGAATGCTGAAATCCACCGCGGCATTTCGTTCTGTTGTGACTTTCAATGAAGTTAATGTTAAATCCGCTCGATTCTCCAAAATTTCAGCAACCAATCCATTCCATTTATTCTAAAAGCAACAATTATGAGGTTTTGTGAGAGATATTCTATTACCGTTATAGGATTTCGAGCGCCCCAGGTACGATCCAGAACTTGATAAAGTTCAAACTCAAATTTCAATCGTTCTTTAAGGACATTGAATATATCGATATAGAATCCTGAACAACATTGATAGTGATGTGGATCACTATGATTAGCACCTCTAAAACAAATCAAGAAATGCTCACTGAACGAAAGAAAACGGTTTTTCATACGAATTTTCCGGACCGATTCGACAAATAACTGAGCCTGCTTGACATTTACCATCGATTGATGGGTCTTTCAACATCACAAATGGACGTTCTTCTAATGTGACTACTTTCAAATAATAAATGACAGGTTTTCCAGGCGGAGGCTTCGACCGTCCACCCGGCCATTGAATATCGGCGATGGTTAATGTACTATTTATATATTCGCCAACCTATTCCGAAATGATCCATCATGACAATTCGTGAAAAAAATTAGATCCTCACCTTTTTCCATTCTCGATCGGGATATTGATAATTTAAGACTGAATAGTTCCCGGCGACTGCGAGACCATCCCGTTGGAAAACTCCATGTGCGCGTTGAAATGCTTCTTTCAATAAACTAAAAGAATCAATGAATGACGACTTCGATTTACATATCAAATCGTTTCACTTGTAAAGATTTGGATAGGAATGTTTTAGATCTGATTGATGAATTGATTTGTTCTCATTGAATAATCGACTACAGAATGCTTGGTCGCGTGAAGAAAACCGACGAGGTATTGTTAAATTCTCATTCCAGTGTTTTATCACATCAATATGAAGATTCTGAGAGAAAACATTCGTTAATATCGGTCCAACATATTTATCAAAACGACTAAGAATCGTATCTATAACAAGAAGCCGAGTTTTCACATTTAAAAAACAACCAAGGAATTCTCCCACCTCGAGTAACATCATTGTACAACGCTAAAAACGATGAAAGTCTTTTATACGAAAGTGAGAAACAAATTCAACAGACCTAACGTTCCAGCGTAGAAGTCCATCTTTCGTCGATTCGGATTATCATACGGACTCATTTTCGGTTCCGTTCCTCCACTGCTATATGTGGCTGAAAGTGATCAAAAAGTAGATACAATCAATCCCGTTCAATAAAACTTACAAAGAACAATCGACGACATAATCCACATATATTCCGATCCCATTAAACTCATATTATTCGCTTGTTTGACAATCAATGAAGCTAACGATCTAGCAAAACATTCGATTTCGTTCGTAATCAAAATCATTTCCATCACATACGATGTTGTATGCACAATAATAACACGCGTTTCAGGATTCATCAACGCTAATTGCTGTCGAATATGGACTGGATTGTTACTTTTAATATCAATTTTTGACAGAATTGTTAATCTAATAAAAAAGAAAAGTGGAGCGATTATGAAGTCATATTTGTCTAGTCAATGATTGTTGACATTCATGTTCAGTTCGTCGAATACACATGAGAAATAACGAGTTGACAAGTCGATTTTCTTCCACTACTCAGTGACTCGCGTGATTGATATTTCATTTTCGAAGAGGCTCATGATTACAGTAACTAACCCAATTTCGTTGGTTCAAACAAATCAGTTTTCACATAAAGAAAGATTCTTCCGAGAACACTTACTTTTTTTGTCCTTTGAGATGGTTCCGATGACACGATGTTCTTTTACTAAAAACAAAAGGTTCATTTCCAATCGAACGAAACGAAAGTGTACCAATCTCGTTGTTCATTTCCGTGTTGTTCGAATTCATCAGTAAGTTCGTCTTCGCCAGGTAATCGCAGTTCGATAATTAGCGAAAATGTATTCCAATCATATCGTTCTAGGAGTGAAATTAAAGCCCGCGCTTCTTCGCGATAGGTCGGGGCCAATTGAAAAAAGCGATAACTCGGAAAATGCTAAAACCGAACATATCAAATGAAATCTCCTTCACATGAATCATTACTTCGGGATGAAATGGATGAAAATAATGAAACGTTAACATCGGATATTGCAAAAACGTAAATAATTTTAAGAAAAAGATATACGCAGCTGGTGATGCATGATTTTCAATTCGATAATCATTCAAATAGATCAAAAGCATCGGATGTCCTTGTACAATTGAACAGAAATTCTCAATCAATACATTGATTGATTTGACATACAACGTGTAAGTTGATCGTCTAGAAGAAACAACAGAAGAAAATCTTCGTTGATAAATAAGACATTTACATATCGTATTTGCCACATGTTTGAGACGAACTTGACAAAAATTGCGGCGAGGCGAACATTTTCAACTGACTAAACCGATCGTCAGTTCGCGAAGATAAACTTGCTATTGGAATATTCGTACATGTTAAATTCGTCAGTACCGGTCCATGAGTCTTCATTTGGATAAAGTCAAATTCATTGAGAAGGAAAATCAACATAAAAATGAAATGTGCGAACATCATGTTCGTTGAGATAAAACGACAAATGTGTCTTCTTTCTTTTAGTGAACAGCCCTTGGCACAATCATTATCAAGAGAGAGAAAAAACGAAGAACAGCAATTATATCTATATGCCAATCGTCAGTGGTGGAAAACTAATGACAAGTCTAGCAAAACGCAAGAACGCGAAACAAGTTGTTGATCAGATTATCTTATTATGATGTGCACATAACAAAAAAGAAAGAAACTGACTGTATCTTTGGATTTAATGATTGATCACGATGAAAAAAAAATCGACATCTCCTTGGAAAATGAAATCGTATATTTCGAGTATATACTTTGTCGTTGCTTGGATTATCATTAGATAATGACAATCTTTGTCATCGGATGAGTCGAGTTTTTCTGTTCGTAATAAGATGCATTTCTTAGATTGATGACAACTTCGTGTGTGTGAAGTGCAAGAAGAACCAATCGAAATTATACGCTTGTCTAAAACCATCAATCTTTTCATCTTTTTTCGCGATTGCATCCGAAGAATCCAATCGGAAAGTCGTGCTTTTCTAATGATAAGAAGGAAAAAATTCGTTTCGTCTTCTCGTTACGTTTTTTTGTTTACTTTAAATGCAAGAGAAAAGAATCCAATTGTGTACATTGCATTTCTAATGCTTAAATAAACGACGTAACGAAAACAGAATGTCACAATCAAAAACGAAACAATGCAGCAAACACCGAACAGGTAACCGATTGGAACGGAGCGTTTTTTTTTCTTTAAATTTTAATGATTCAATCTAGCGTAAAAGATCGAGGTAGTGCCGTTAGTACCAATGATTTGATAATTGATAATAAGACGAATACAATTCAATCGGAAACACAAGTGACGAAGCCGAAGAAAAAGAAGAGAAAAACTCAAGTAGCAAATGTGACAACTAAACAGGTTATTCGTTTTGATTAAAGAAGTAGAGTTTATTTGATTATGTCGTTATAGACGACAGTACAACAACCAGCACTTTCGGGAGTATTTGGTATTTCAAGAGGTGAGAGAAAGTGGACTGGTGATGAGTTTGTTGGAATTGGATGTTTTTAGCTGCAACAATTTGTTGGTATATTCTAATTGGAATTATATTTCTCATCGCTTTTGTTGCCCTGGTTTTATCAGTACTTTATTTTGTCTCAGGTGAATATTTCTGTGCTATTTTTCTTTTGAAATTTGCTCTTATTTGATTAGATACAACAACTGAACAAGTTGTTAAACTCTATGGGATCTGCGGTGCTGGTAGTTTAATTTTTGTTACCATCGGTATTGTCTGTCTTGACTGTTGTAATGATGGAAATAGACGAGCTCGCGAAGAAATGGCGAGATATTCCATGTTACAAGCTATAGAAGAAAAAAGACGAGCTTTAGCCCAACGACGTGCGAAACGAACAGTTACAGAAGATAAGGATGAAAAACCGAAACCGTTTATCATTCAACACCAAGGAACACAAGCAGCACCTCCCGAGCCTGAGCCTCATTCGCATCACATGCATCATTATCCTTATCATCATTATCCAGCAATAGGTTATCTCATTCCTGCACCACCGATTGTTATTGATACAGGTATGAATACATCGGAAAAGTTCGTTCCACCATCGTGGAGTAGAAATGAAGAACATGGAACACAGACAGATCGAACAGAAGGAACACAAACATCAGCTATGGAATTGAATCGAATTCCAAATAATGTAACGGAAATTATCCATGAAAGAACAATTCTGAAGGCGCCTAAAGAACTTATTGGAACAATTAAAGAATCTATGGCGCAGCAAGACAGAAATTTAGCTTTAGATTCAGATGCGATTGATGCGAATACTTTAATTGCTTTTAATTGACTTTTTTTCACTTTGTTGTTTTATTTAACTGAAAAATAAACGTATGGTGTAAATGATAATTGACACACTTGATTTTGTGATTCATTACTCTATCATTGAATATCTTCCTGTAGTCCCTACACATAATGTATGTGAGTCATATCTTTCCCTTTCAGAATTTCGTTTCATTTAATGATATATCTCGATTTTATTGTGATGATACATTATTTTATGATATGATAATATACAGGTTTAGGGTAATTGTCATAGAAAACTTCCACAAAGTTTCGATCACGCTCGTTAGAAATTTACTAAACTAGAAAATACATAGCTCCAGAGATTGTGACAGGAGAATGAGATCCTCGACGATTATACTGCTTGACAATGCATCAGTTCTTCGTCTTTTTTTGTAACCTACGAATATTCTCTTCAGTTCGAAGAATATCTGGGTGAGTCGGTGGGAGAATTTGGCGATTAATGGAAAGCGATTTCTGGTAGCATTCCAAAGCTTTAGTAGAGTCTGAGATATCTCTATAGGCGCAACCCATGTTATTGTATGTCATTGCGATTCCTGGATGGTTTGGAGGTAAAGCAGTCTGCTGAATTGTAAGACATTTATTGAAGTATTCTAGAGCCAATTGATGGTTTCCAATATCATCATACGTCGAAGCTATGTTGCTATAAGTTCTGCAAAGGGCTATTATATCACATGAAGTAGATCCTTCTTGAATTGCGATTGCCTTTCTAAAGTTTACCAATGCTTCATCGTATTCATTTAGTGAGAACGATTGTGAAGTTCCAATTAAACTATACACTTCTCCGACGTTAGCATGCTTTGGGCCGAATACTTCCTGTCGTATCTTCATTGCTTCATCATAATGAGATAACGCTGGAACAGGTCGATCTTGCCACTCTTCAGCTTTCCCAAAACCAACATGACAATCTGCTGTCTTTACACGTAACTCTTGCATCATACGCGCATAACATTTTCTTGATTGCTCATATTCACCCATTTGGAACAATATTTTCCCGAGTGAATCCAGATCAGCATCATCTCCAATTGTATTTTTCATATATACAAATGTCTCTTTCAAATGAAAATCATCTTCGCTTGCCAGAGACACTTGAGCGACCCATACCCGATCATTTTTGTCTTCGAATACTTTCTCAATGCGAAATAACGCTCCAAGACTAAGTAATAGTTCATGTTCATTTTGAAAAAAACTGATTTTGCTCACATCAGCGAATGGTTTGGTTCGTAAACGTGGATCGATCTCGATTTCGAAGATAATTCGCTCAATGCCATCGATAACTGGCGTCCGCCGAGAAAACTCCAGAGCTGCTGAACGGCTACGGCTAGTGGATAAAAACGAGTTCATCGACAGAAATTCACCGCTACTTTTTTTCATCAAATCTAGTTCATCGCTTCCAACCACTTGACCACGATAAACTCGAATAATATTTCGGCTACCACTAGCACGAATAAACTTTTCATAATCACCTTTAATCTGTTTGGCAATATCTGTAATCAAGAATCGGAAGGCGAATAACACATCGAAGTCTTGCACACGCAACGCTTTATTCATCATTCGATAAAAACACGATTCACGAGTATACCACCAAATCGCATTTTCCGCTTTGTAATTTTTCTCAAATTCACCAATGATCGCCATTTCGCGTTGATTTCCTTTGTAACTCTCTTTGCAGATATCAATGATTTCCTGCCGATCGATAGATTTATGATGCATTCGAAGTAAAACTTCAATGAATAGTTGAAACCACATAAAAATAGCATTACGAGTTTGAAGAGACTGTGTACCAGAACTAATGACAGCAATGGATCCACCATCTTCTACTTTGGCTCGAGCAGTTTGATCTTCTGATATCTGGGCAATTAGTTTTGCACGTTCAACAAAAACACCATTGACCTACAATATAAAACTCTATTGTTCCGTAAAATGCGAAATGAACTGTTATACTTTGTGATATTTATTTGCCCATTGTTCGTTAGCTTTCTTATCTTGACAAAAGACATAACATGCTGAAAATTGGGGAAGATTGTGAAGTCGAGGAACGATTTGTCGACCTAAACTTCCAGACACGATAAGAATTACCTTTTCATGAACAATTTCCTTTATGTATTGTTCACATTCGTCAGTATTATCAAATAGTCGTAGATGATTAATGATTTGACGAAGTGCTTGTTGAGTACCACGATTATCTTTTGTTGAATTAATATTTTGATCTAACCAGAGACAAGCAAACGATTCAAGATTATGGATTGTAGATTTTTTATGTGTAATATTTGAAGCCATTTCAATAAACAACGAATATTTGCGATGCAGCGAGTAAAAAGACTGTTCTTCAAAATTTTCAAACTATAATGCTATTCGATACGTTCTTCTATATGTACTGCTGAATAAACTCTTGCGCATCTACTTTCCAACATAATAAATGTCTCTCAAAGTATGCCATCATTGTTGACATACGAAGAAACAGACATGACGAAAATAAGCTCGGAAGAGTAGAGTGAATCAAAATTTTGCAATACAAACTGGCAACAACACAGTTTGTGATATCGACAGAAATACCCACACATAATCTTTCAATTGATCGCTAATTATTCTAAGTCTGTCAATCTATACATATTCACTCAAAACGAAAATACTCTGATATTACAGTAACTCAAAAGAATCTCTCTCGTACAGATGAAAAAGCGATGTTGGTCACGATTAAAGCATGGTGGTAATAAAACCACTTTAAATCTAATCTCTCCACAAAGATATACAAAGCAATAGCCGTGAGTAATAAATGTCGATATCGACGTAATTTATTTTGAAGAAAATGTTCTTTGCGAGAAATTGATCACAATAATTAAGTCAATTACTAGCTAAATAAAAGTATTAGCACAGTGAAGTCCTTTCAGATTGTCGTAAACCCGCCATCGACTAAAAAACTAGCACCCGTGGCAAAATGGCACAAATCCGAAGCCAAAAACACAGTAAAATTAGCGATCTCTTGTGTTGAAGCCCATCGTTTGAGACACTGCTTTTGCGCTTGTTCGTCAATTAGTTGTTCCAATGGTATATTCAAATGAGCAGCATGATTTGCTGAAGCTGGTGTTAGTGTCGCACCAGGACATATTGCATTAC